TACAGGCCCCGTGTCGTTTCAGCCTGAAAGCCTGAAAAACAGGGCCTACAGGCCCTGTGTCGTTTCAGGCTAAATCAGGGCCTTTCCGGCCCTGAGTGTTTTCAGCCTGAAACTGAGGGCCATTTTCGGGTCCTCATCGGTTCGACCTGCCCTGAAACTCAGGCAACAAACCAGGGTTTTAGCACAGGCCATTTCGGTCCTGTTTTCAAGACAAACCCTGGTTGAGCTTCAACGCCAGGGTCTGGCACATTTCGGCATTGGCAAGAGCAGCCTCTTGGACGGGCCAGCACTATATAGGACTGGCCCGCCCTGCAGGCAGGTAGGTAGTTCCTAGGTACTTCCTGGCACTTTACGTGCAGTCCAGGAGGCAGGAGGTAGTCTTCAGGATTCTGCAGCAGCACTCTGGAGGAGTGCTGCAGGAGTAGTAGTAGCGTTAGCAGTAGTCTTCAGCGCTGGGCGCTAGTAGTGTTAGCTGTAGTCTTCAGCGCTGGGTGCCATAGCAGCTAGAGTAGTACTAGCGAGAGAGAGATTGGGCGGAGGCCAGAGGGACTTACCTGCAGCGCCATCGCTCCAGCTTCGTCTTCAAGGTACCTGCAGCACAGCGCCACCTTCACAGGTTAGTACCTGGCATACGAGAGAGAGAGAGAGAGTTCTTCTTCTTCCTCTTCTCAGTCCACCATCTCCCTCTCACCCTCTCGTTATCTGACTTCACTGCATCAGCAGACTATGAGAGAGAGAGAGAGATCTGGGTGACATTTGGATCCAGACTCAACATTGGACTTCAGACATTTTGACGAGGGATTATTTGGGACTTGTAACGAGACTTGGTGTTGACGACTTTCCCATCTCTCCCCTCCTCTTCTCCGTCTGATCCCCTCCTCTTTGTCTGTGTATGATCTGGACCTGGCGCCTTCTTCCTGTGTATAGCGCCAGGCCCCTTCACACGTGTGATGAGAATGATGTATGTGGGGCCTGTGTTAACCGCTTGTGGTAGTATTGGTATGGCTCTTCTTTGCACAAGAAGTTGATAGGTCCGGGCTTGAACCATGTCTCCCAAAATAAATCAGTTTGGGCTAGTCATTATTATTATAGCATTCTGCTTCGCTATCTTGTACTACATAAAAGAGGTCAGTCCCGGTCAGGTCAGGACTTGTATCTAAATCTTCCACTGCGCTATAAAACACCATTTTGTATGTATCAGGATGTACACTGCTTGTTGAGATTCTACTTGCACTGCGTTGTCCATTCAGTCCTTTTCATCACATTGCGGATCCTTGGTTTATTACGTACATCGCCCAACTGGGCATGTAACAATTGGTATCGGAGCACCGCACGTGAATCAGGACAACCTGATCTGACACGTGTGCAGGGACTAAGTCGCTGATTAGTCTCGATTGATTGATTAGAGCACAGTAGTTAGCCCCCAAAATCACGATTTTGACGTCACTGACGAAAATCGAAATTTTATTTTTTTTTCTTTTCTTGGATTTTGTTTTCTCGCTAGTTCTGCTGTGGAAAGTCGCAATAGCGCAACATCTGAAATTTCCGTTTTCGTTTTTCTTCTGAAAATTCGAAATTTCGTTGTTGGAAAATCCAGAATATCTTTTTTTTTCGAAAATCGATTTCCTTTTGCAATTTCCCGTTATTTAGAAATCCGGAATGTTTTTTTTCCGAAATTCGTTTTAAAAAAAAAACGGTACGGGAAATCCCTTTTGCAGTACCATTTTTCAAACTGCGAATACTCTCATCTGAGTAAGTCCAAATAGGGTATTTCTTTTCGGAATTTTTGTTATTCGCAGTTCTATGATTTTCACTACCTGATAATCATTGGCAGTCTGGAAGTTCGAAATTTTTTTCTCATTGACAATTTCGCACTTCAAGGGAGGTTGGGAGACCTACTGAACTTGCAAAACTCGGGATTTTTATTCTCTCGAAAAAAATTTTGCGAAGTTCAAACTTTTCTTTTTTGATTAGTGGCTCCTTATCTGGGCGATTTATCCCCACCCACCCTCCCCACCTATGTTGTTGCCCCCTCTGGTCTTACCTTCCCTATCTGTGTCCGGGTACCCCCTGCAGCAGCATTGGTGAGTTGCCACGTCAGCAGGCCACATCAGCAGACCATGCCAGCAGGCCACGTCAGCAGACCATGCCAGCAGGCCACGTCAGCAGGCCACGTCAGCAGGACATGTCAGCAGGACATGTCAGCAGCCATGTCAGCAGCAGGGAGTGCCACGTCAGCAGGCCCCAGCCTGATCTATGCTTACGCGCTCGAAAACAGCCGTCATGGACCAGATGTCCGGGGAAACGGACGAGGCCTATCAGGCCCGGATGCTGCTTCTGATTACCGAATCTATGCAATGGTCGGATGCAGTAGCAGCCGCAGCAAAGCAGAAGGCAGAGGACGCCGAGAAGGCACGCCCATTGGCAATTGAACAGCAGCGCCAGCACGATGAGGCAGCAGCTGCCGATGAAGAACGAGTTCAACGTCGCGAGAAGATATTTAGCGGAGAGCGAGCTTTGCTCACACTGGCATTGGATTGGCAGACCGAGGCCGAGAATGGCAAGATGGAAGAGTGAAAACAAGATCGCTCTCCTCCTCTCCCATCTCACGGACCTACTGGCAACATGTATTACACATCAGGAGGACATCCACAGCCTCGACGACGCATTGGCTCAAGTCCACAGCCGCCTCCGGCAGCTGGAGCAGCAACCCGTCGCCGCCCTCGATGCCAGCTCTTCCAACACCTCTGATCGCCTCGAGGCATTGGAGATTGACGTTGGCTCCCTCAAGGACGGCGT